GAAGTCATAAAAATTATCAGCAGCTCCTGTAAAAATGCAGCCTCGGAGAACTTTCAGCCCTTCTGATGTCTGAGAGCAGTTTGGTAGTCCTGCCTTTTCAAAACATCCAAATACTTCAATATTCAGCTTTTAACAAGAAGTTTAAAATAGCTTCCATAAAACATATGCTGTTATTTCTGTCATACAGACAGCACTCAGAAATCAGCTATGGAACATTTTCTATAGGAGATGAGGAAAAAACTAACCCCCAGCAGCTGATCAGAACACTCAGGAGTCTGAGGTACAGGGAACCTCTCCTGTCAGGGCTGGTCACTTCAGTCTTTGAAACAACCTGAACAGTATCACTGTGAATTTATTTCAGCTACTTTCCCCATTTCCTCCTTTTAAGAACTCTCTCATGTGAAACACTTGTACCTCGTTAATTTTAAGAATATATTGACTCCTCCTTAACAAAGGCATTTGAATGTTTAAACAGGGAAACAGTACTGTCAAACAAGCAGCCACAGTTTTGTTTAGCTATCTTGCACCACTCTAACTGCACAGCACAATAGGCTTTCTACCATGCAGAAACCCATGCAGTGCTGCAGTTACCTTTGGTAATTTTTGTTACAGAAAGTATAGCAAGCAGTGACCACAACCAACTGGAGTTTCTTTGCATCAACCATCGTTTGCTGCCATGAGCTGCAGAGGCCACCCCAGAAGTCCCAGCTCAGTTTTCAAGCTGTCTGTTAAACCAAAGGCTCTCCAGGCTCTGGACTGTCCAGGCTTCATTCCCACCTGCTTCCACACACACTAACAAACACAGGCCTTCAGCAGGAGAGCTCAAGTCTGCAGCTGCAGGAGAGCTCAAACCTCTACAAAGCTCATGAGCAAGGTGAAGAAAGGGCTAACACTGCGAACTAATGCAACTCAAGTATCATGTACTGGTAGGTACTTGCAGAAAACTTACTTTTTCTTTAGGAGCACAATAAAATATGCATCTAGGGCAATAGCTAAGTGACCCCATGCCCAGTTTTGTCCTTACATGATGAACATGGTCTCAGCAGCACAGGTCTCCCAGCAGTCAGTGCTCCATACACATAGGTGATTTAGCTGAGCTCGCAGCATGCTGCAGAGAGCCCTGCACAATCGGGTTCTCAACAGCTCAGCTGCCATAGCTGACAGCTCACAATTGCAGCCATTCATTAGTGTTCCTGGAATACAGCCGGAGCAGCTCAAGCCGGTCAGTTATCTCTGGAAAATGATCTATACTCTGCTCCTTTTCCAACAGCCCTAGTAATATTTTGCCCCAAAAGTCTGCCAAACATGTAGGAGGTTTGAACAAGCTTTCTCAGTAACATTCTTTTAACAGAAGCCACATATTTCTTTTCCCCCAAGAGCCAAAATAAAGTTATTAAGCCAGATGAAATATTCTGCTTGTCAATTACAAATTTGTGTATACATGGGCATAAGGGCAAGCAGAGAACCTGACACACACTGATAACAAAATCCTCTCAGGTGCTCTAACTGCCCTCCCTTCAAAATAATTAGTACTAGTGCTGAGGTCCAACAAAAGAAGAGTCAGAGCAATTTTGAGACTAGTTCTAATAATGTTTTTACACAATTGGTATTTTCCAGGCTCCCTGTTTGAGACAGCAGTACCCACATCTGCCTCAGTAACAGTACTAGTTCCTCCATCCTTTAATACTGCTGCAGTTTATTTTATTTGCAGCCACATTTAAAAAGGTGTTATGCTGTAAATATTTCATAACTTTCACACAATTTTTTTCTTTTTAAGAGCTTAGCAATTTGGACACATCAACTGAAATACTGGCTTTGCTTTTCAAGGAAGAAGTGACACACTGAAGGCTTTTTTCTTTTTCATTCTTTTGGACCACCTATCCACCCTTTCTTCGCCCCCAGACAAGATTTTCCAATTAATTGATTCTTCACTATTCATCAGATCAATGCAAGAAATCACAGGTTTTCATAGACTACTGTCAAAGTGTACTCGGCTATGGGAACAGGAAATTAAAAGTCTTTGGGCAATGGCTTGGAAGAAAGCAATCTATAAACATAGTTCTCTTTATATATCAGGCTAGATCACCTCCACCCCTAATAACCTTAGATGCTGTTTGATTTAAAACAGCAGACTATAACATAGGAGTAATACACAAAAATTTTTTTCAGAAATACATGAACTGATCAACTTTTTACATCATGTTTACTGCATTAATGACATGCTGCTTTCAAAGAATTTCCATCTTAACTATTTTACCTTTAAAAGAGTTCCTCTTCATATTCAGAATGGTGACTTTCCAGGTAAATCCAGGGTATTGAGAGCTATACAGTACTCCTTGATGAGTCACTGTTTTAGAAGATGACTACAGGAGAATGATCTACACAAGTCTGTGAAGCTTCAAGTACGTGCAAATATTGAAGTGTAACTGAAGGTGCCAGAAGAAACATAGATACCTGCCTCCACATTGAGCCCCCTTTCTGGAAATGTTACACATTAATAGTATGAAAGACAAAGAGAAAAATGCTTTCCACAGATTTATAGCTTCAATGACCACCAAGTAACCTCTCTGAACTGAGCTGTGAGCTAACTTCCTGGACCTGCCAGCACAAACCATGACTCATGATGTATCAGCTCCCTTTGTGCTTTAATAGCTTTATCAGTGTCAACCCCCAGCCTATTAATGACACTTGAAGGTCTTCATTAACTATTTCACCACCGATTCCAGTAGATAAGGCAGCTGGGCAAAGCCCATGGGAGTGGCAGCACAATTTAAATGGCTGGAAAGAGGAAAAAAGCAGGAGCAAGAATAGAACAGCAGACAAGCAGGAGACTATTGTACAATAAAGCCTTCTCAGAGAGTAAAGCAAATAAAAACCAAGAGGTAAAAGAGCCTTAACAAGCTGCTAGGTTTTCATTCTCACCTTTCTCTGTCTCAAGCTGGTGGAAGTCAGGCTACTGTTTGAGGGGAGCAAAGAATAAACTTTGATCCTACGTTATGTACGAGGTCTAGGTCGGTTTAAGGTGAGCTTTCATGGCTTACCAGAATCACCTTCCCTCTGGGAAAGACTCACACCAGACGCGTGCTCCTGGCTTTCTGACAACCAGCACAGGGCACAGTTTTATCACCCAGTGCAGAAGCTGACAAACGACACACAGGCCCTCCTTCCCTGATAACCAGACACTCGCTTCTCTACTGAACACCACAGCATGGCCTGCCAAAAAGAGCACACTGCTTTCAGACCCCATTGCCATTTCTTACTCATAGTTCAAAGTGTCTGAAAGAGTCTCTTTAGACATGAACACCATGTAAAGCACCACTGCAAGGTGGCAAGTACAAAGACTAAACTAGAAAATTAAGAATCACTGTTCTGTTAAGAGCACCAAGAACTGGCCCACTGGAGTGTCACACAAAGTTAGATGCCCCTAATTTGAAAAAGCAGGATAAGTTTTTCTCTATCTTTACACAGAAGTTATTCAGTTGTCACAGATAATCATGTTCATTACCACAATTTATATTAAGTATTACAAGCTATGGAAAACAAATGCAAAATGCATTCCTTTCTTTCTGATTCCTGAATCAACAGAATGATTAAACACCAGACAAATCATCTTCTCAAAAAACACTGAGCTATGAAAAGAACCCACCAGCTTGAAATCGAACCTTATTTGCACAAGGCAGTTTTTCAGCAGTCCTCTTAAGGTAGGCAAACTGTGTAGTAAATTTTAAACTTCTAGTCAGTCCTTTACCACTTTTTTCAAAACCAGCACAGGTCTCCAAACCACAGCTTTTCCTTGCAGAACAGCACAGCAGTTACTTTCTCAGACAGTGTCAGCCAACGCTCCAGCGAGCACAGGCCTGCATTAAACCTGCAGCCTGAACTCTCCAGACACCCACTTTGAGGTGCCCTCTCCATCCACTGCACCCCAGCTCCACAGACACAGCTGCTTCACTAAAACATGCTCCAATCAACACTGACTACATTATCTTAATGTCTGGTGCTGTCTCAAGGTGAGGGAAGCCTTACAGAGACATTCACCACAAGATCCGCTCATAATGGCCTAATGCCTGTTTTTAAAAACAAGTCACACACATGTATTCCCTTCCTCCAAACTCCAGCAATTCTGACAGTAGATGTTGGGACTTAAATTCAGTGCTCAAACACTGCTTGATTCTTCTTTCCCTCACAAGTCAACCAAGTGGTTTGGCCTTCAGAGCAGTCTGACGTGTCCATGGGAACAGCAGCCACACACCCACTGCCTCGCTCAGGCCCTCTCAGGAGTCTGCTCACACCACACTCCTCTGTCACAGTCATAGTTCCAAATTACTTTCCAATTAAAAAAAACTCACTGTAAGGTTGTACTTCCCACCGTGTCCGCATCTTTGCCCAAGTAGTGTCTGTTTTCTCAGCACAAAGGACCATTCTCTGCAGAGCTTTCCCTGCATACGGATTTGCACACAAATCCACATCCAAGTGCAAGTACTTTCCTTACTAACTGATATTATGACGTGTTAACTCCACGGCAGGGTACAAACCAAGAGTCTGTGTCAATATCCCTGAGATACCACCACACAGATTTAACACTGCAATACAGCGTTATTTTACCCAGCTGTCAATGAAGTGCTTTATATTGCATTCTGGAAAAATGAGAGAACAGCCCTTCTCACATCCTGAGCGCTACAGAAAGACAGCTTCCAGTCTTCTGATTTTGAAGAGGCAATGTTATTCATGCATTAAGCAGCTTTCAGGATACTTTGTACCCCATTTTGTGAGAAAAGTAATGGCACTCACACCCTGCAAAAAACAAGTAGAATTCACTACTGGCCTAAATACTTTGCTATGGTTTGCGCTCTTAAAATAAAAATATAGTCCAGGTGAACCTCAGCATGACTTTCTGAAAATACGAATTTACAAAAAACACTTGGCAATAACTTGAAAGTTGACTTTTTTCCCCCTAAAAATACAGTTCTTTTTTTATGGCATTATAAAATGATTCATACCTGTCTTCATCACCATCAACAGGAATGGATATGCCAAAAACAGAGCTGGCAAGACTGTTCATTGGAGTACTTGCAGGTAACTGAAGAGGATTTGCTAGAGTGTCTGGAATGGGAGGCTTCACAAGAGGTTTATTTTCAGCTATAAGAGAAAGTGGTGGCTGAGGTAGGGGCTCCGATTTTCTTCTAGTATCATCAATCTGGCCTACTAAGGACTGGGCCTGGGTCTGAAACTGTCCGAGGCTCGCCTGAGGCAGGCTGGCGGGTGCACCTTGCATCATCGAGTGTCCGACGTGCTGGGACTGGACCGTGCCAGTGCTTCTGCTGACAGAAGGGTGGCTCGTCAGCTGGGACTGGGCCAGCGTAACAGGGACGTTTGGCATAGCAGCAGAAGCGGTGGTGGACACGCTAGGCACACTTGTACCGGGCACAACCGCAGGCACGCTCTGAACTCCAGGGACCACAGCGTGGGGAGCGCCGGGCATTGCCGACACTTGACTGCTTCCCCCCATTGGATGCTGAGTCACAGATTTCTGTTGCACAACCCCCGTATGTCCAAGGCCTGGCTGCACCACACCTCCCGGCTGCGGGAGGGCAGGCTGACTCGCTTGTGCCTGGCCACTCTGCAACAACCCCGACCCCTGTCCGACTGCTTCGCTGGGCTGCGCTGACACCCCCATCACTGGCGCTCCCACAGGTGAGGGGTTCTGGCCCGTCACCTGCCCCACAGGAAGGCTGGAGGCCACAGTACTTGGAGCAGAGCTTGTAGCAGCCTGCTGAATAGCTCCTTGAGACTGCATTATTGTCATGTGCTGCATGTATTCAGCCTGCCCAGGAGGCTGCGTCGGCAGTAGATGCACTGGTGGAATCTGGGACTGAGAATAAGCAAATTGTTGAGGTTGAGTCACTGGTATGTTTGCCTGCTGCACCTGCTGCTGGGCCACAGGAATGCCTGACTGCCCTGCTGTCACATTTGGAGGTGCCATGCCTTTCCCGTTGGGTCCAGCCTGTGAAACACCCTGTGGATTTACCTGTGGTTGCTGCGGCACTATCATTTGCTGACTTGCTCCCGAAGCCCCAGAAAACACAGGCTGAGCAGTACTCTGAGGCACGGCCCCACCTACGGGCTGTTGCTGTTGCCCAATGACAAAATTAGGTTGCTGTAGAGAGGACTGGTTCATTTTCTCTGTCTGAAGCAGCTGTGACACAGCAGCCAGGGAGCTGTCAGCTATAGAATCGGGGCCATGGGCTGACGCTGGCACAGCCGAGATCACAACAGAACCTCCTGTGGCACCGAGGCCACTGTCCCTCTCCTGAGCAGCCTGTTCGAAGGTGCTGCTGTGCCTAATGCAATCTCCAGTCCTGCCCAGAACACCACCACCGTCTGAGTCCCGGTCATAGTACTCCATACACGTCCATCGGCCTCGCCTGTAGGGCTCCCCAGTACCGTGGTCCAGCTTGATCACCCTGAAGCGTGAGCTGCACGCAGCAGCCGCCGTCTGAGACATGGCCCCGGGGGCACTGGGTGCCGAAGGCCCTGTGGAGGGCAGGGCAGCCTGAGCACTGCTGCCCCCCCCCACAGCTGTGCCAGGAGCAACAGCTGGCAGGGGCACAGCCGAACTTTTGGGCACAGCCCCCCCGTTGGGGCCTGCAGCCATCCCAGGAGCGGCCACAGCCAGCTGCCCGTCCAAAAGGAGATTGGGAGAGACGCTGCTGGGAGTTTCGGCCTCGCCCACGTTGTTGAGAGTCTCTTCGGAGGAGCTCCGCTCACAGACGTCCTCGGGGCCGTAGTCGGTGGCTCGGGAAACATCAAAGATCTCAGAAGACACGTCCTCGGTGCGGGACTCATCCGGGTCATCCAGGCTCTCGGTGTCCTCGGTAATGCTGCTGGCCACCTGCGCCGTGGTCACGCTGGTGATCTGGAAGCAGCTCTTCTTCTTGGCCGGCATCTTGGACATGTTTCCTCCGCAGGAAGGGGTTCGGCCGGCCGCGGCGAGGCGAGCGGGGTGCTGGGGCGGGCTGTCACGGCGTGCCGGCCGGGCCCCGGGCGCTGCCGTACATCCTCCGGCGGCTTCCTGCGGCGGGCGGGGGGCGGCGGGGCTCCTCCTCTTCCTCCCTATCCGCAGCCCTCTTCCCGCGGCCGGGCCTCCTTCTCCTCCCTGCCGCCGCTCCGAGCGCCCCGCGGCTTCCTGCGGGCCGCAGCGGCGGGCCCGCGGCCCGCCCCGCGCGAGGGGCCCCGCGCTGGCCGGGCGAGGCCCGGGCGGCCCCGTGTCCCACCCCCCCCGCTGTCTCCGCGCTCTACCTGGAGACCAGCGCCAGGCGCATCCTGCTCGCAACCGGCCCGCGGGCTCGCCCCACGGGCAAACCCCCGCCGCGGGCGGGGTGCGGGCGCCGCGGCGGCCCGGGGAGCGGCGCTCGGCGGCCGCGGGCGGGCGGACCCGCTGCGCTGCACCGGCCCCGGAGCTCCCGGAGCGCGGTAGGGCCGCGGCTCCTCTCGCCCAAGATGGGGCTCAACTTGTGCGCTGCACCCTGGGAGCGACGTGGCCACGCCCCCGGCGGGTGACGTCACGGCCCGGCGCAAAGCAGCGCGGCGCGGCGCGGGGGTGGAGGGGGAGCGCGGCTCTGCGGGGGACAGTTGGGATATGGCGGCGCACGCCGAGATCCCCCCCTCCCCTCCGGGGGTTGGTCGCGCCCGGCCGCACGCAGCCCCGGCCGGCGGCGAGTGCGCGGCCCCGCCGGAGCGCTGGCGAACCCGAGAGAGCGCCCTCGTCGGGCGGGGCCGGGCAGTGCTCCCGCTGCGGTTGGAGCAGCGCCGGGGCCGGGAGCTGAGCCGGGGCCCTCAGCCGGGACACCGAGCGGGGGCACCGAGCCGGGGCACCACGGCGTCATTCCGGCTGGAACGGACCGCTGAGACCGAACTGTGCACCATGCCCACCTTGTCACCCAACCCCGAGCACTGGGTGCCACGTCCAGGCCTCCCTGGGACGCCTGCAGGGATGGGCACTCCAACCCTCCCTGGGCAGTGCCAAGGCCTGACCCCCTTTCCATGGGCAAATTCCTGCTGTGCCCACCCTGAGCTCCCTGGCCCAGCCAGAGGCCGTTCCCTCTGCTCCTGTCCCTGTTCCCAGGAGCAGAGCCCGACCCCCCGGCTGTCCCCTCCTGTGCAGAGCCACAAGGGCCCCCTGAGCCTCCTGTGCTCCAGGCTGAGCCCCTTCCCAGCTCCCTCAGCCTCTCCTGGGGCCCCATTCCCTTCCCAGCTCCGTTCCCTGCCCTGGATGCGCTCCAGCCCCTCCATGGCCTTCCTGGAGCGAGGGTCCGTGCTGGGCGCTGGCAGTGCCCCAGCAGGGCCAGCTCGGGGACAGTCCCACAGCGCGGGGACAGTCCCACAGCTCGGGGCACAGTCCCACAGCGCAGGGGACAGACCCACAGCGTGGGGGACAGTCCCACAGCGCGGGCACAGTCCCACAGAGCAGGGGACAGTCCCACAGCTCGGGGACAGTCCCACAGAGCAGGGGACAGTCCCACAGCGCGGGGCACAGTCCCACAGCTCGGGGGACAGTCCCACAGCTCGGGGCACAGTGCCACAGCTCAGGGCACAGTCCCACAGCTCGGGGCACAGTCCCACAGAGCAGGGGACAGACCCACAGCGTGGGGGACAGTCCCACAGCGCGGGCACAGTCCCACAGAGCAGGGGACAGTCCCACAGCTCGGGGCACAGTGCCACAGCTCGGGGACAGTGCCACAGCTCGGGCACAGTCCCACAGCTCGGGGCACAGTCCCCGCCTGCTGCTGCGGCCGCGCCGCTCCTGACCCCGGCCTGACAGCGCTGCAGCGAGGAATGGGGACTGTGACATGTACTGTGGTCTGGCAAAGAAGAAAGGGAAATTAATAAAAGGTAAAACAGCTCAAGGACAAGGAACAAGAATGAATAAGGTGAACTGATTCACTAACAAAGCAGAAAGGTTTCTGAAAAGTCAAGTATGAAAATGGCTACAGTCCACAGCCAGGATCCACACAGTAAACCACACAATGGCCTTGTCAGTGTTACACTGATAATATTTTTGCGACGTTGAATTAGTGCTGAACAATATTCCAGTATGTTGGGCACAAATACACTGATATTTTTATTAAGTGTCAAGCATGTACATATTCCTTTTTTTCCTTCACGAAAAACATTGGCCACAGGTAGTTAAAAGGAATTCCCACACGCCTTCTGTCGGTGTGTGCGAGCGCCAGCGCTGTGGCACGCTCCTGGTGTCCGTGTGCCTGGATTTTAGACCTGGACAGGACAGATGGAGCAGGCAGGGGAAGGGCAGCAGGCTCCTTCTCACTGCTGCTGGCTCACCCGACAGAGGTCTGGGTAACGCTCTGTCACCTTCACATTACACACTTCGCTGGGAGCATCCCCACAGGTTTCAGTGGCAGTGAGATCCTTAGCGGCTTTCCTTGTGGTTCTCCTGTTCTCACTGCGGGTGATTTTACACAGTTTACATATTTTGCCATTTAAAGATCACGCACCAGTCATGTGAAAGAAGTATCTCTCACACAGCCTCCGGACTGAAATGCTCCCGCAAGTAATAGAAGACTAAAAAAGAAGCTCTTCTGGAGTGTGGCAGTTGTAGGTATCCAGTGAAAATGGCACTACAATGTTCTATTTGTTTGTTTCTAGAATTTTAAATGGTCAAAAGGTGGTGCTTTCCACTGATAGTGGCTGAAATCTGTGTGTCACTAGCATGCACTAAACCCCTGAATGCTTATGGAGTGCACACAGCCACACACGTGCTCACACCCAGCAATGAATGCGTGGCTGGATAAAGATCTATATTAATACATATATTATAAATTATTGTACATTAATAGTCGTGTATTGCTAGGTGTATGTGTGCATTTAAGCTTTTGAAAAGCCCTGATATAGCTTTAAAATTACAATGTTTTTCAAAAGAAAGATGTAGGAATATTAAATGGAGTCAGTTTATTAGTATCTAAAGTGCATGGGTTCAGATATCTCAGCCTTTAATAACATTAGGTGATTACTGTTGGAGACGAAAATCTAGCCTGGGGATGGCATTGATCTCACAAATAGGGCATCCTCTCAAGTGTCAGGAGTCCAGGCTGAGACTGTTTGAGGGGCAGTCAGTAGGAAACGTTCAGGGGATTGGTTTTTTAGCTTTTTTTAGCTTAGTCTCACCCCTCAGTTGGTATTGATCTGCAGTACAGCCTTGTACAAGTTATTTTTCATTCTTTGATCTTCATTTTTTTTCTCTCCCATCTATCATCTGCCTTATCTGCAGATACAGAGAACTGTTGAGGGCTCTACTTACCATTCTTCTGTGTGTCAAGTACTGAGACCTACATTTTGGTCAGGCCATGTGATATGTCTTAGCAATAGTAACATACTGGCACAGTAATGAACAAGTGACAAGCAGTTTATTTATCCCTAGGGTCTTTTCAAATTTGAAGAGAAATTTAGGAGTTACTAAAAACTGGGTATACTGAGAGTGCACTCTGTTTCTGATGACTGTTATATCAAATCCTGCATTAACATTATAAATTTTAAAATAAACAGTAGTGTCAGAAATTCCTTACTGTAAACTGTACATTTTCCTTTTTATGAAACTCGTGGTTCTAGACAGTAAGACACTGACTCAAATTATTCTTGTTTTTAAGACTCCTCTAAATTACCACAAATTGTCTCAAACCCAACTGAGATGCAATTGTAATTTGAATTTCAAGTTCTTTTGAATTTCAAGCTGTAAGACACAAGACCTGGAAGAGAAATACCAGGTTACAGACTGCTGGAGGGAAAAAAGGCACAGAAAATGGCAAATTAGTTATGTGAATGTCTAAGTGGGATTTTTGCATTTATAAAGGCCACTAACTATCCAGAGAACCATGAATAGTACTGCAGTATTTAGCTTCAGGCTCTTCTTAAAGTTTCATGTGACAAAGAGCACAGAATTTTCCTCTCCCCTGACTCTAAAATATGGCTCTTTTTGTCTTTGTAGTGTTCATAGTCTTCTACATGGGCAATAATAGGCACTAAATCCAACAACTAATGAAAGAAATCACAGGAATGACAAGTGAGAAAAACGGACACTGTTTCACCCATTGAAACACACTGAAAATGCAAGCAGAAATGAATAAATGTTATGAAACACCATCAGCTGTTGTTAGCCTGATCCTGACCCCTTTCAAGTCAATGCAAAAGCCATCAAATGTCAGTGGCAGGTGTGTCTTTCTTTACTGAGAGATGTTAAAATCCAGGATGTACATTTGTGCAGATCAACAGACAGGCCTTTAGCACACTAGGCTGTTCTTCATCATGGGCACCTTTTTCTGTAGATCTTGTGCTGCTCACAGCTGTGGTGTTTGAACAGGAGCAGCTCCTCTAGTCAGAATGATGTGTCAAACAGCACTGTTCTGTAAATATTCTGTAAATTATTCTGTAAATAACTGAGGGAAATGGCAGCATTCTGTGGAGACTGCTGATGCACTGGGGGGTCTGAGGTGGTCTCTTGGTGGATGGGTTACTGCCAAAACCTCCTGGTTTTTCCTGGCAATAAGCCCCTGTATGGTTTTCATCTGTGGGATTTGGCTGTTCTTATTTACCACCGTTGTTCTCAGCCTTGCTGCCTGCTGTATTTTGAACCATTTGTGGTTTAGAGGCAGAGGGAAGAGAAGCATGGACAAAATCTGAGCTGCAAATCTAGTTTGGGATTGTTCTTGATGCTAAAAAAGAACTGTGGATTTGGAAGTCATCATAAGGCAACTACCATGTTTTGGCACTAATGATGAATTACTGCTGCAAGAACAAGGCTTTTAGGGAAGGCACAGAGCAGACCTGGGTTTGGGCCATAGTTTTAAAGCCAGGAAATCAATCCTGGCTTTAGGATAAATAAGTCAGGTTGGTCTGTCTTTTCTTTCTCAGTTTGAATGTGAAACAGTTTGTAAACTGTTGCTATTTAGCTAATACAGTGGAATGCAGTGAAATTTAAAGACATGCAATGTTTCTTCAATTTGATGTATAAATAGATTACAGCATTTTCAGCATTCCAGTCTTATGATCAAGTGGAATCCAGATCAGGTTTCATTTAACCTAGTAAAGAGAGAAATGTGAACAGTTTCAGATAGCTCATGTGGCGTTCAGCAGCATATTCTCTCACATATTTCAAACTCAAATTAAGTAAAGTGTGATATCAATATTGGAGAAAATCCACATCTCTTTGATAGACTTGGTGTGTCTGAAATATTTCTGTTTGGCATGGTTTTATTTTAATGGACTTTTCAATAATTCATTGCTAGATTTTCTAGAATCTAGGTTGCTCATTTTCTTGAAAACTTCTGCTTTGAACAGTAAGTAATCACTTTGTGTATAAACCATTCTTCAGACTTCCCACCAGCTTTATCAATTACATCTCAGTGTAAAAAGCATGAATAGTGGCAGGGCATTTGTTTTTAATATGTTGTCTAAGCAAAAAAGGAAACATAGACAAACTTCAGAGAGCTTGTCAGATATTTTAAATAAGTACTGTGGGGCACAATTTGATTTGTAGTTATAAATCCATTTACAGGACTGAGTTCCTAAAGGACTTTTGTAATACTTGGGGTAGAAGACTAAGAGGAAGTGTGGAGAGGAAAGATGGTCTGTTTTTAAGATGAGGGGGCAGTTACAGAGTAGACATTAAAGCCATTGCAAATCCATAATAATAATGTTTAGGTGGCCCATTTAAATAGACTTCCCAGGGAGTCCTGATTGTTTGGAGTGATGGTACCTGTGCTGAGGAGCCATCTGCTTGGTTCAGGAGTGTGGGATGCTCAGGTTCCAAGGGAATGTGTGCCTGCACCCCTCACCTTGCACTTCCAGAAGTGCAATGCCCTTTCTTCCCCTTTTACTGCGAAGCAGGAATTCAAAAGCAGAGACCAGAGCTGGATAAATAAAGGTGTGGGGAAACATGTACATATTTAAGTTCTGAGCAATTTTTGACAGCTCTATTGCTACCACATCATGTAGCACATGAGACAGCAGTCAGCCCAAACTGGTTCCCTGGCCTTTTTTGCCTAAACATGCTTCAGAAAACTTACAGTCTGGATGAGCTGTAACTTTCCTACAAAAGCACAAATGTGGGGTTTGTAGCAGGTAGTGGATTGATGGATTCCCTGTCTCCACATGGAATCTATGTATGCAAAGTATATACCAAAAAAACACTACTTCTGTGGCTAATTCTTGCTTTTCTCATCCAACTGTACAGCTACTATCAACATCTGTGAGTGCATCTACTGAAATACTCCTGCTGCCAGACACTAAAATGATGTGGTGAATATAAGCCTAAATTCTCTTCATGTAAATCTCTGCTTTTCTGCTGTTAATTTTGTTTTAAAACTTATATAAGTAGTTCTGCTGAAATCCACTAAAATAGAATCATCAGAAATTGAGAGCTTGCTAAGCAAAACTGAAAGTGTTTGGGGTAGACAAATAATAGTTGTTTATGAGGACCTGCATTTTGTATTGTTATTATTTTATAATTGAGCACTTCCATTATAAACATGATTAAAAGGCACAACTTGTCCTTCATTAATGCTGAAGAAGTGATCTCAGTGTGTATCAGGTTTGCAAATTCAAACCATTTTCAGAGCTCTGGTTTTGGAGCCTGAGAAGAAAGAGAAAAGAGAACATGTGGGGAAGTGAATGTTCTGACATTTGTCAGAGTAAACTGATGGAATGAGACAAACTACTGGGTTAAATGAAAAATACCACAACAATTAAATTACACTACTAGGATTCCCAAAGTAATTACCTGCTTCATGGCAAGCCCTAACAGATTCTCCATGAGAATTTTGATGAGTGGAATTGTCCTGTAGGTGTTAAAAGGTGTGGGAACTCTTTAGTAATGCATTGCAAAGAGGTGATACACTCAGCATCGTCATTCGGAGGACTTTTTCCCTCAGTTGCACTATAAATAATTCCATATGGATAAAAATTAGCTCACAAATTCTGCAAGTTAAGACTAGGAATTTCCTCTTCAGGGGCTTGTATTCTGTTGAGACATCTGAAAGTCATTAAAAGCTCTCGACATGGAATTGTCTCCAAGAAGAGGAGCAGTGGTCTCTGTGGGGACTAATCAGGACATAGCAACTCCCCCCAAAAGAAGGAGAGGGGGATTGTTGGGTGTTTTTCCAACCACAGTCCCACTTGCTGTTGTTTGCAGGAACCTGACAGCACCTGAAGGGAACTCGTGGATGTTCAGGTGTTGCTCTGCAGCAAGTGTGGCGTGGCAGCTGCCAGGTCAGGTGGGGAAGGATCTGCACAAAATGCAGCACATACAACCAGAGCAGGAGCAGCAGAACTGGGCCCTGCCTTATCTCAGGGGAAATCCTGTGCTGGTAGCCCTGTCAGTGGCACTGACCTGTGCAGGGCACAGCTGGTCACCCAGACACACAGACACACACATGGACACACACACACAGACACACAGACACACACACACACACAGACACAGACACACAGACACACAGACACAGACACACACACACACACAGACACAGACACACAGACACACAGACACAGACACACACACACACACAGACACAGACACACAGACACACAGACACAGACACACACACACACACAGACACAGACACACAGACACACAGACACAGACACACACACACACACAGACACAGACACACAGACACACAGACACAGACACACACACACACACAGACACAGACACACAGACACACAGACACAGACACACACACACACACAGACACAGACACACAGACACACAGACACAGACACACACACACACACAGACACAGACACACAGACACACAGACACAGACACACACACACACACAGACACAGACACACAGACACACAGACACAGACACACACACACACACAGACACAGACACACAGACACACAGACACAGACACACACACACACACAGACACAGACACACAGACACACAGACACAGACACACACACACACACAGACACAGACACACAGACACACAGACACAGACACACACACACACACAGACACAGACACACAGACACACAGACACAGACACACACACACACACAGACACAGACACACAGACACACAGACACACAGACACGCCTGTCCTGCCCAGCGGGAGCACACACAGGCAGCGGTGCCAGGATCAGTGGCTGTGGCTGTGGCTGCCCTGCCCGTGGCACAAGGCCGCACTGCTCACGCAGCATCAAGGCTTCTCCAGCACCCAGGTCCTGGTAGGTTGCACCTGGGGGAGTCTGTCCTTCCTTGACATACCTGCCCTGCTGTTACTACCACTGCTGCTGCTCCTTTTGTCTCTGATGCAGTAAAAAGCCTGTTTCTGTTAGCTACCGGTACTCCCAGCACAGTGGCTGTGGGTCTCAGACCATCTCAGTTAGATGGTCTCCTGTTGGAGAACTCACAACAGGCTTTTATCCAGAGCCCAATCAAAAGGTGAGCACAAATGCACTGTCTGGCACAGTGTTTATGGGTTTATCCCATAAACCCCCAATATTTCACCTTTGGTCTCTCCAGTACAGGAGGTTTTGGCATTTATTCAGTATTAAGTCATAAACATATTTTAAATGATGCAGTCATACAAAGAAAAGATCAGCTGAAGAAACAGGGAAGAGAGTTCTTTGTGATTTTCTTGATCTTTTGGTTGTGTTATGCTGCCATACAAAAGCCACTCAGTTCCTCACCTTTCCCCCTCAGTGAGACACTCAGAAGATTACAAATCTTACTATGAACTGAACACTGTCTAGATCAAAGATGTCCTGGGTTTTTAAGTTTCGGGACATTTCTTCACCTAATTAACTCGGAGCTGATTTTTCAGTCTCATCTGGTGCCCATGTCAAGGGCAGAGTCAGCAGCGGTGCCACGGGAGGTGGCACGGTGCTGCTCAGGAGGGCACACAGCTCTGGCAGCAGCTGACGTTCTGCCGTGGGCTGTTTGCCTGGCACCTGTGTGGCCATGCCCTGCAGCCCTCCTTGTCGGCGATGCTGGTGCGGGGAGCCAGTGCAAAACCAGCTGGGCACAAGGTGAGAGCTGTGTGCAAGTTTGCTGGAAGAAAGGATGTGGGCTCTGAGAAAACACCCCTGTCAGAGGGGGACGCTGGGGTGGTGCACGTTCCTGTTCTCTGCCTGGCTGAGGGGCACTGTGGCAAGCCAGGCAGCCAGGGCTGCTTTGGGGTCTGGGGGTGACACCCAGGGGGAGCCTGCCCGGGCACAGCCCACCCTGGCTGGCACAGTCACATCAGCCAGGCCTTGGGAGTGCACATGGGTCACAACAAGCCAGAGGAAGAAAAATGCTGTGGAAGCAGGCTGCTGAAATACACAACAGTGTGGTTTTATTCTGCGTAGCCCAATATCACAGTTAACCTGGGCAAATATTTCTGTGTTTACTCATGTGGTAAAAGACTTTTATAATGGTAAGTAAATACCTAGAAGGATAGATTTAGCATGTGGGAAGACTCACAGTGAGCTTTGTAAGAACGTGAAGGTTGAGTAATACCAATGTGTACACAAGCAGCAGAAAGGGGGTAGTTTTTTAAAAATTAAATTTCTGCATGCAGGCATGCTGTTCAGATTAGCATGGCAGTACATACAGAATTTACTTGAAATTTCTCTTTTCAAGAACACAGACATATTTAAATATTTTTTCCTAGGGCACGATGCATAATGAAATACCTGTTTTCTTCCAGTGTACTTTGCAGAACCAGGCCTTAAACACCATTTTTCACCCCATTGTAAAAAGAAATATGCCATCTCTTCCATACCATGAACTGTTTCTGGAGTGCTGCTTCTGTGAAGGGTACAAAGACACATCTCAGCTTCTGTTGAAATGTAATTAACAGGTAGATTTTAGGCAAATTTTGTGGAAGTTCTCCAAGCTTTATAAATAATACCCCTTGGGTTTTTTTTCAGACAGTAAAACTGAAACCTGAATTGGAAATTATTCCCCTTTACTCAAAACTTCAGACCAAGTCAGTGTCCAAAGTAAAATCTAAGGTTTCTTATCTCCTGCCTACTCCTGTGAACACTGAGCAGTGCCTGTGTAAGCTCTCTTGAGCATATTTTGCAGTGTATGGTGCATGTTGCACTAGTCTGTTGTTTCTGCATCTGTGTTTTTGCGGACAAATTGGTACCATGTAGGATATGGGGTGAAAAAGTGGTTTTGAGTGTTAAATGACTAAAGGATTTTCAAGCCTGTACTTCTTCATGGCATTTCTCAGACAAGGGAAACAAGGTTCTGTTCTGCATGTAGAAGAGGTGATGCACAGCAGAAACTTGGAAAGCTGGAGCAAGTTGTGCAAGGAGAAGAGAGATGCTTTCAGTTCCCTCCCACATTTTCTGTTTATATCTTTCCCTATCAGAATTGCTTTCTCATTTCTGCTTCCCATTTGCGTGTGTGCCAGCAGAAGGAATGTGCTGGTTCAGAGTAAGGTCCTCTGTGGATGGCCAGTGCTGCTGGCTGCCATGGCTCCTCAGAGCCACACTCTGCCAGGGGTTTGACATCTGCGTGCACTGAAGGCACATCAACTAAAATCAGTTTAGGTAGAACTGGGGAGATCTGGAATTTTTCTCCCAAAGACAAGCTGTGGGATGTGAAATAGAGCCAGTGACAGGAACCTGACAGGGACCTGCATTCTGTACAAAGAACCCCAAGTGACGAGTCCATATGACTTTTTCCTGTGGAATATGGACTGTGGATTGCTTCCTCCTATGACTCATAGACAGCTGTACAAAGTAGGATCCCTGTGCCCCTGATTTCACCTTGTAAATCATTAGACTTAACACTTTTCAGACTCCTCTTGCTGAAATACTAAAATGAAACCCACTGCCTGGTAATGTCTGCTGGCCCTTGTTCCACCTGGGCACGCTCTGCTGCAGGGTTACTGGCACTGGCCCACTCAGCTGTAGAAGAAAAAGCTTTCTCACAGGGTGCTTCTGGTAGGATCATGATTCAGGACAATCCCTCTTTTTTGAAGTCATGTTTATAGGGAGTAGCACATGGTAAATTAAGACATTTGGAGATCTGCAAATCCAAAGCTGGGTACTGCACAGCAGTGACGTTCTGGCCCACAAGCAATCTCACTGGGCAGAATGCTGGTTCACACACGAACAGAAGGGTTTAATGATGAAAGTGATCAGGATCTGATCCATAGCAATGTCACTGCACGCCTTAATGCTTGACTGGACTCAGGGCTCTTCAGGAGGACAGTGAGGGAACAGAAAGGCAGAATGTGAGAGGAACTACATGGTGAAAGAATGCACAGGGAGGGCTCTTTCCTGCAGCTGCTGAAGCCCTCTTTTATCTCATAACAGTCATTCTTTAAAAAAAAAATGAACTGAGAGAAGTGAAGATTTATTGCCTAGTCCTTTGATGCCATGGTCTGCTGAAGCATGGAGAACGGCCTTAAGAAGTGGGTTTAGTGTTCTTTTGTGGTAAGTTACAAATGGCAGCAAGAATGAGGAAATGTGTCTAATCCTTGCATGGACATCGATTGATTCAATGGTATCGAGTGAGTTTCTTCATCTCATTGCATCACAGTTACTCCATTTTTGAAATCAGGTTGATGACTATCAAGCATTGTTCATTGTTTGAGATCTGCAGTTATAAAATAGGAGCAGCATGGGCAGTCAGGATGACAGATGCCCCACATGCAGCTGTGGGGTCCTGCCCTGTGGCAGGAGCTGTGTGCTGCCCACATGGGTTATCCATTAGCCCACAGCAGTTGCCAAGTAACCACTGGAGATTATGAAAAATCTAATACTCAGAATTAAAAACTGTGGAAAGATCCAAGTTCACTGCAAGACCTCTCCCAAGGCTTCCTTATAATTCCTTGTTTGGGGAACATTTTAAATTCATCACTGACATTATTTTTATGTTGCAATTCCCAGAGCCCTACTCAAGTTTTATGCATCAAAATGGTTAATTGTGTTATCCAACTAGGTCTTCAGAAACTGACTTCTATCTTTGATACCCAATAGCTGCAGTCACCTGTAGGTGTCTGGGTTTGGCCATGGCTATAAACATCTGGCTATTATGTATTCAGAACTTATCTAGATACTGCGTCATTTACAGTGAGCAAAGGTGTTCAATGTGGAGTCTGATCCTTTGGATATTGCCTAAGGAATAGCATTTAAAGTTATGCTTGACCCATGCCAATCCTGAGCAATTCCCAGAAATCCCTATGACATGACATTTGCTTTCTGTAATCCAGGATGTACCTTTGTAACTATAACTGTTTTTGCACACATATGTGTGCCTCTAAAACTGTCTGGTTCTGTCTAACAAACATAAGAAATTTTCAGAATTGTATTCATTTTGGGGACATGCATTTATATCTTGGACAAGACTAAATTTATAAGCCTTGAGGGTGTAAGATATGGCTTTTATCCTAAATTTAATTTAATTTTCAGTTCTGTTGATAAATTTTCTGTACTGATTTCAAAGTCATAGGGCATGTTAGCTGGATGGCTAAAATTTCTAGAGAAAGGGGGTTGTGTATTTATAAGGATAACAGTAATATTCAGAGTGATATTAGTAAGGGTTATAAAAATAATTAAGAGTTGAGATTAAGAATTAATACATGACCACAAAGAATAACAAGTAAGGAGAAGGAAAATGCAATTCCTCTGTTATGCTGTCCTCTCTCTCATGGCCTGACAGGGTTGGACACCAGACTGGATCCATGACTTTAAACAGAATTCCTCTTCTGCTCCCCAGGGGAGCAGACACCAGTGAGGATGGGCACTGAGATCTTGCAGTCCCCCATAAATACAGTCTTGTTTCCCTAGGGAACAGTTATGTTTTTGGCAGTACATGCTGCGAGCCTGGCTGTTTCATGCTGTGGGAAAACCAGTGTGCTTGCTGTCTGCATTCTTACCTGGAGTTGCCTGTGCCTGTTTGTTCCCTGCAGTTTGCTCTCCGTCCCTTCCCAGAGCAGGGCCATGCCTGGCGGTGACTCTGCAATGTGCAGGAACTGGCACTGGGATAAGATCGTGCTTGTTCTGCTCTCTGACCTGCAGGAATGTAAACTTGCTGACCTCACAGATCTGCTGACGTTGGCAGGTGCTCCTCCACCTTGTAATTCAGCATTATGCTTATTCCTCACACTGCACTGTGCCGTGCATGAGCCAAAGGCAAGTCAACAAGTGCTCCTGTGAGATGCCACCACTCCAGGAAGCACAAAAGCAACCTCCTCAGGTAGGCTGACTGAGGTGAGAGATGGCCCCAGGGAGGCCCAGAGTCCTCATTCCCTGGGCAGGCCCATGAGAAGGGACCTGGCTACTGTGCTAGTTTGTGCAGACAGTGCCTCAGAGGCTACAGGGTGATGGGCAACAGTCTCTAAGCCCACCACCTGAGTCCAGGTGAGCTGTGGGGAAATCCTCTTGGCCATTGAGACACCAGATACCCACCTCCACAGCTGCATACCTCCCTGCAGGCGTGGGAGCCCACATGCAAGGTGCCTCATTAATTCCCTTTGGAACATATTCATTACTGGTGTGACTTCCACATGCAAGCCTGCTGTCAGCAAAGCTCACCAGTGTGCAAACTGCATCAGCTGTCTTACCTGAAACCTGTCTTCTCCATGCTCCGTTGCAGCTCAGGCTGGCCCCAGAGGCAAATCTGTGGCATTCCAGTTGAACATGGTTCCACGTGAAGGTGGCATAGCCCTCTGTTGCAGGGGGCAGAGAAGGGGTTTCTGAACAGGATCCACCTCTGAGCAATGCATGGAAGGAGCAGATTGTCCCATACAAAACTGCAGTCACCACCGAGGAAGTGAGAAGTTGGCACTAACCTCTCATCATATATCCTCCTTTTCTCCTATAAAATGGGGGGCTGGAGCACCACACTAGTGTGTCATTAGGGAATATATCTGTGCTGGGCTATATATTATTTGGCTTTACTTTGATTCCAGAAGCTGTAGCAATATGGGTCATGATTTACATCTGTGGTAGGTTGTAGTAGCAAGAAGAAGCAAACAACTGTTCTTGGATTTGACATTTTAAGTGCCTTTTAGCAATGTTACTATCCAGACAAACCAACATCACTTTGAAAGCTACAGTGGAAATTCACAAACGATGATATAGCCAGAGACAATTATAAACATGTAAAACAAACAAAGGTGGTGTTTTCTAAACATGAGTCTAAGGGTTGACCGCTGGCTCTCCATCATATGCATTCCATGGATGTGTTATAAAGAGTGAGATTGTATATAGAGCAAAAATTTTAAAATAGGTCATAGTTACATGCAAAACTAACACTTCTCCTTTAAGGAAGACTGGCTGAGAGCCATATCTCCCCAGGAGCAGTTGCTAACTCCAGTGAGGATAGCTGTGGGAGCAGAGGGACCTGAAGTCAGGTCCACTTCTTGTTTGCTTATTCTAGCAAAGAACCTTCTTAGAACAGTCAGAAAAAGCTCTTTATTCCTGCAAAGCTTGTGGCATTATCCCCTGTAACCTTCCTGAGGGTGGGGAGTCACTGCCAGAACCTTTGCACAGCTTCCCTCTGAGGAGTCATCACAAACCCTGGCACTTCTCAATGCAGAACCAAGTTACACCAACACCCTCACTTCAAAATGCAAGGGTTATTGCTGCAGGAATAAATCCTTTTTTCTTAGAAAGAGAGGCATAGAATGGAGCAGGGAAATTGAAAGATTTAGTCTTGCTCCTGCTGCAAACGCTTGAAATGCATAAGACTGAATTATCTAGGGAGCATGTCAAGGGTCTGACAAAACCCGGCAGTTTCAATTAATGGCCTCTGTTCAGCTGTCAGAACCCAGTGGGTCTGCTGACAACAGAGTGATGACAGATCAACCTCCACTGACATCCTGTGCAGATGCTTTTAAAGTAGTAAAACATACATTTAAGAATCTATACTTAGGCATGAACACAAAACTTGAAGTCTTTCACAGGTGCTCAGATTTGTATCTCAATTACAGATTCCCTTCAGTGAGGCATGCAATTTAAATCCCCAAACCAAGTCAACATGACACAAGAATGATTAATTATTGAACAAAAGCATATAATCATGACCATCTGTGGATAAAAAGAAGAGGGGAATTTCACCACTGCAAATACAAAATTCACAGTTGTAAGACCTGGAATCGAGCTTGAAGCTTTTTTAATTAGCCAGGGGAATAATGGATTTTGGAATCACTACAATGACTTAACATGCCTTTGGGTGCTATTATTTTGTTTTGCAGTGACAGGGACCTCTGCAGGAGAAAAATGTGGAATCCCAGCCTAAAATCTCCCCTTGCAGAGGTAATGTCTTTAACCTCACATGGCGCCAGGCCTGGCCCCCTGCTCAGGAATGCTGCTGAAATGCAGCAGTGAGAGCAAGTCAGCCCTTCCACTGCAGGTGTGCCAGCAGGGATGGCTGCTGGGGCTTTGCACGGGGAGCTCAGAGCTCCCTTTGGCAAGGAGCCTCTCTGTTTCCTGCGAGGTACACGCAGGGCACGCGCAGGGCAGCGATTCTGTCGCAGCAGACTAAGCCCGAGCTGTTAGGCTGTCCCAGAGCAGCAGGGGAGCTGTGCTCCTGCCCGTGGGGTGCTGTGGGTGCAGCTGAGAGCAGCAGCTCTGAGCTGTCTGTACCCCACGGCACCCTTCTGCAGCTGCCCTCCTGCTTTGGAGGAGGCTCTTGTTCAGAGAAGGTTCCCTGAAAGACCTTTTCTTTGTAGGAGAAAATCAACATATTCTGGGGACCCCTGATTTTAGGAGAAGCCTTAGAGCCTTTGGGAAACAGCCTTCACCTGTGTTCTGCAGGCGGGGGATGAGAGTTTCTGTGTGCCTCTGACGATGTGTGGAGAGATGTGCACTAACTCCCTCGCAGGGAAACACAGCAGAGAGCACTTCCAGCAGAAGGCAGGGGCACCAAGCTGGGCTTTCCCTCCCTGCTGGGCAGCTCTGATCTCCATGGCTTGCTCAGGAACAGGAACCAGGCGTGACTTGCACCTCAGCTGAGCATGCAGCCAGTGGGAAAAGCACTCCTGGCAGCAAAGAGAAAGCAAGAAAGTGAAAAGTGACAGAAATGGGCCTTCAGGAGACACCTTCAGGCCATATCACCCCTGAGAGCGAATTCATATGCCCTCAGACCCATTGTTGAGATCCTCAATGTAAACTGGATTTCCCTGTGCACACACCAGCCCTGTGTGAGCACCTCTTGTGCAGCTGCTGGCAGATTTTGGAGGTTCTGAACCTATGACCAAAAATAGGTGGGTCTGGTTTCCCTAGTCATGGTGTTCAGTGTTACACATGCCATGATGATGAAGCATTGTAAATCATGAGTCTGCTTGCATACACTGATAAACCAGTCATGCAGAAGGTTCCTTGGAGTAGGAATTCAGCAGAAGGCATTTCACATCTGTCAGAAATAATTCAAGGGTGTGGAATGACTAATTGGGAACTGCATGAATAATCAAGACTTCATTTTCAGCAAGACAAAGCCATGAACTTTTGTCTGGCACATCAGTAGGGAATACGTTCCCTTCATTAAGGCCCATGTTCTGGGGACTGATGCTAGCAAAAATACCAGAAGGAGAGATTTTTGTGATGATCACAGAGTGTCCACTTTTAAAGTGCAGCTCATAAGTCTAGCTAAAGGACAGAGCTATTTGAGAAGCAGATGATGCTATGTAAACCTTAAAAATAAACTGTTAAACTGAAAACAAAGACATAAGATTTGAGAGTAGAATAAAAAATGGAAAATGAAATCAGCCTAAGCTGAGGTTTTTAGTATTAAGCAAGGACTCAGATCTTTCCCTTGGCCAAGTCTAGAAACCAGCCACTGGTCTGCCAAACACGACTGGTTCCCACTCGGGTGGAAATGAGGAGCTGGGGCTCCTGTTTTTCCCCTAGACTGCAGAACAAGCAACAATAGGAGTTGTGCTGGTCTGAGGTCTTGATTTGCTGTGCTGTGTAACAACAACGATGAGAAAGGGGGAGATGGGATCATTTTCCATCCGGCCTGTGCCAGCTCAGAGCCCAGGCACCCTGCTGGATCAGGTGCTGGGGCCCTCAGCCTGTTCCATCAGAGCTCCCAGGCACTGCATCCATCCCTGCTCACAGAGCTGTCCATCCCAACAGCTCCGAGAGCTGCACACACCGGCAGCACCCAGGGACTGGAGACTTGGCAAATGTGATAGATGGCAGGAAAAGCTTTATTAGCTGAGCACAGGCTGGGAGAAAGCTTGTGAACTCTGCTCACAGGTTATAGAACAGACAAAAGCATGTCAAACAAGGGACATTGCTGGATTTCTGTGTGTACTGAGGTCCAGAGATTGTCACAACAGATTTTTCCAGCAGATTTTGTCTTTATACAAATTGTAAAATACCTCCAAAAAGTACTGGTTAGGTGACAGGATCTGTTCTTTCAAGGACAGGGCTAGGGCTAAACCCATCATGACCACAGCTTGCCAGCTCTTCATATAAGCTGATGCCATGTGAATCACACGGTGAGTGGGAGCTCCCAGAGCTCAGTCCATGAACAAAGCATGTCTTGGAGCAGGGTGAGGAATGCAGAGGCGTGTGCTGGAAGGTGTGGCAGGTATGTGTGAGCTGTTAATGACCATGCTGAAGAAACCCTGGTGATGCAGAGGTGAAGGAGTCCAAGAACTGGAGGAGTCCAGAACCCATGCTGTAGGATCAGCTGAAGGATGGATCTGCATCCACAGCAGCTGCTGCAGCTTCCTGGCATGGAAATGCTCTTCAGCAGCAGCAGCACTTTTCATCTCACTCTAGCAGCAGGTATGGGCCTGCACTGGTATTATCTTAATTTTCAAAGACTTTGTCATGCTTTTCAGAGCCATTCAATCTTTCATTTGAGACTTCACTGAATAGGGCACTCCATGGCTACTACCATTGTTCTCTGAACCAGCCTCTCTGAAGGTGACCTCCTCCACTTACAAGTGAGGAAAGACAGAAAAATTAGAGTTTAATGGGCGGAACTCTGGATGGAGCATGGATAAACCCAGGAGGTTTAAAAGATGAAAAGTGGCAAAACCACTGACTAGCATTTGCAGAGCTGAAATGCAAAAAGCTTAAGTTCTGCAACTTGGAAAGTACGGAGTCTGTCTCGCTGTGAGTCAAAATTGTGGCAGGATCTGACGCTGCCTGCTCAGCCCTGCAGCTGAGGTTCTCTTCTCCATGTTATGGGCTTTAGCTGTAGCAGAGCAAAGGGACCTGCACCATCCTGGCAGGAACACTGCTCTGCCTGCCCGCACTGCCTCACTGCAAAGAGTGGCTCTGAATTATGGGTGGGCAACATTCACCAACATGGATTTCCCCAGAAAGTTTGGTGCCATTCACCTTATCTGCTCCAAGGGCTTTCTTAACCCCCTTGAGGTGCCATGCCACAGGGGAGTGCTCTAGCACCCCTGGAACGATGTACACCTTGCTGGGGAAGTGACCTGTGGGCATAAGTGATCTTTCCTAACAGCTGGCAGTTGTCCCACCCAGGCCTCAGCTGCATCCCCTTCAGCAAAGGAAGGATGGGGATCAGGCTGCTGGGTGAACAGCACAGTCCTGGCCCTGTGTCCAGCCAGCACGGCACGACCAGGGATGCCACCCACAAACATTCACAGGAATTCCAGGCAGGAGACATGCCATGTCCATCTCATCTTCATTTTTTATATTTTTCCACCCTAAACACTTGGCCAGGTGATTGTTCGTTGGCTTTTTAAATTTTTCTGTGTGGTAACTGAAGATGTTTACTACCAGGCAGGAGTTTTGTTTCCCTAAGAGCAGCAGCCTCAGCTCCTGGAAGCAGGCAGCTTCAGTGGCTGTCCCAGGCATCTACTGACCTCAGGCCTTATTCTTTCACCTGTCTTGTCACTGACCTGTGTCTTCTGGGGCTGTGGGATTAAAGATATGATGCCAACAGCCCTCCCTTCTGGGGAGGTGCAAAGGGAACACCAGACGTTGATTTCTGGTTGTCTCTGTTCACATTTTGTACTGGAAATTCACTGACAGGCATTGAAGCATGAAATGCAGCGATTGTTTGGAAGGTGGCCAGAAAACCCTGACGTTCTGGGAGTGAGTTATCTTTCTGCAGTTTGTCTAGCAGAGAGGCAATGTGGTTCAATGCAATTTTTCTGCCTATAACCCGAGGTGATGCTGGTTGCTTCAAGTCATAAGCAGCAAAATCTCAGGGCTGTGAAACCCTCCAAGCCAGGAGTGGCACCTGTGTTAATACAGAAAGACACAGAGTGTGTTTCTGACCCATTTCCGTGTCATAGGGTGTTATAATTCTGTGCTGTTAAGCTGTGCTGACTCTAGACATGGTTAACAGTGGGGTGCAGCTGGGTGCTCACTGCAGGAGGAGGAGGAGGCTGCTGGGGCACGGGCAGCTTGGGGCTCACCAGCAGGCTGGCCTTATCTCAGCTGTCACTGGGAACTCTTCAAGCCCTGCGCCGAAGGGCTGAACACATACAACAGCTTCACATTTGTCTTCTCTCTCACAGACTTTCTCTTCCAAAATTTCTGACTGCTAAGGGCCACCGCCAAGCTGGAAGCCCACTGTCCCCTGGGAACTCCAGGTGGGGAGGGGGCTCTCTCCATTCCCAGGGAACTCCAGGCTGGGGGCAGGTGCTCTCTGTCCCCTGGGAGCCCCGGGCCAGCTGTGCAGGGCAGTGCTGGCACAGGTGGGATCAGCTGCTGGACTCAGCAGACACTGAGCATGTTTGCCCAAGGATTAAGCAAGGTAAGCCTCCGGGCTTGTCCATCCCCCATTCAGGGGGCCCAGTCCCTTTACCTTTGTCTGTCCACAGGGTATTTAAAGACTGGTATTTAAAGGCCCTGGTCCCTCAGGAGGACACCTGAGGCAGGCAGGACGTGCTGTGGCCACACTGCCCTGCTGAGCCCCTTGCCCTGCTGCTTTGGGCAGGCACGGCTGCTGGCGTCTGGTGTCTGCTCAGCTTCACTTTGAGGTATTTAAACTCAGCAAAGTGGCTTTTTTTAGATCCATATGCACAGATCAGGTGGTCACCTGTGTCAATATGTTTATTCACAGATCCTAGCTCAGGGACCAGCCTTCTCTAAACATAATTAGGGCTATTTAAGTAGATTACCTCTCGGTCCACATAAAACACCATGAATTCCCTCACTGAGCAAAACTCCAGGTGGCACGAGGGTGAAAAGCAACAAGGATTTTGCTGTTGAGTGCCTCAAATATTTCTATGATTGTACTGTCAATGGCTGTTTGCTTCTGAAGAGCTGCCCACTATGTCTACTCTGCCATTAAGTCGGTTTTCAGAGCAGCAGCTTCACCGGGCACTTTGGCAGCTGCTCCCACCTGTCAGCCTCCCTCACCCTGGCTCATACTAACTAGGCTGGAGGTATATGCAGCAAAGCCTGATTTGGGGCTGGATGTGAAGAGAAGCTTTTCAGCTTTTGTCCTTTTGCCTGCCCTAAAAAATTTGATTTCTGGGATTCCAGCAAGGCCATCACACTGTGTGTCTGTGTGAGTGTTGTTGAGCAGAGCTCAGCCCCGCACCTGGCCCCAGCAGGCGCTGAACTATCGGGGCATCTGGAACATGAGGCTCATTTTCAGCACTGCACAATTTTCTCCACACTGATGTTATCTTTGCCATCAGCTACTGGCATGCAGCAGCTCACATATGCCATTAGCAGGTGGTAGAAGACATAAATGGAATTTTCTCTCAGAACATTTCTTCCATTCTTCCTCCCAGACTGATGAAGTACAAGTTCAAGCTAAAGGCATGTAGTGACTACAGCTCGTTCTCAAACAGGGCCACAGAGAGTTAAAAGCAGGCTGCAGGAGAAGCTGTCACATCTTTCAGTCTCGCTGCCATGGTCAGCTCCTCAGCACAGTGCCCTTAGAGCACGGGGAGTGCAGCTGTGTGTGGCTGCACTCCTGACCCTCGGGATCTGCAGCGGCGCAGTCGCTGCGGGGAGCTGAGGCACCTGCCCACGGTCTCAGCAAGCTGCTGCAGCTTGGCAGAGCTCTGGGCCCTGGAGATGGACACAGAAATTTATGGATCAGGCAAACAGATCGCCAGAAGAGGCATGAATTCAGGAACACAACATGTGCACTTTGTGTGGCCTCCAAAAGGAGGAGGCAGAAGCACAAGGAGCTCCACATCATCCCACAATTATGCTGCTGTGAGCTCAAGTTGGTCTGCCTTCCAGCAGAGCCACAGTCAGAGGAGCCTGGGGGCTGCTGCTGGAACCATGTGCCTGAGTGCACTCCTGACTCACCATTCACTTTTGCATCTGGATGCCTTATAGAAGACATAAATGGCTTTTTGAAAAATCTTATTCAGGGTTCTTCTTTTATTTTTAATATGATTTTTTTTCTGTCTCCCTCAACTGCAGCAAATCCTTCTCAAAGTTGCTCCTGAACTTGATGGAAAAGAAACCATGGCTCAGGACCCCCTTGGTCTCCAGACCTGACATGAGCCTTTATTTTTCATCTATTTTGTTTTGTCCCCAAAGGACAATTTCATTCCAGGTTCATAAACTCATACTGAAAAACAATAGAACATTTCCAAAGTCACAAAATTCTGTGGAATTGCAAGTCTGATGCTTTGGATCCAAAGCTCAACTTTGGATTTTTTCTCCCACAAAGATGCTTTGATACTTGACCAAATGAAAAGTGCTTCAGTGCTACAAGTGCCAGGTTGATGCTCGTGATCTGTCTGACCTGTCTCAGGGACTCTCTTTGTTTTGTCAGACAATGCAGATGGGAGAGGGGACTGACATATGCTTTTGTTCATGAAAATCTTTACATTCCAAGGTTATTTAAAATAATTGTCTTCCATAAAAACATAGTTTCTATTGCCCAGTGTCCTCTCTCATCATATGTGGGAATGCCATTCCCTGGTTTCAAGAAGTCTTTGGGTTTTTGAGTGCTGATCCTTTCCCACGTGGGGGTGGTCTCTGCCCCCTTCCCCCTGTGTTGCTGGGGGACAGGGCAGTGAAGAGAACACTGAACTGCTGAAGCCAGGCTGCTGTGTGCACCTGGGCACAGCTGCCACTAGAAAGGTGCAGGGGAGAGGCACTTTTGTTCCAACCATAGAAATAACTTCCTTAGAAAAGCATTTTGCCTAAAGCCCACTATAGATTGCAGCCCCAGATAAGTTGCTTGCTTTGGTCCAGGATCAGAGCTGAAATTCTGCAGAGGGGGCATGGGCAGCCCTGGTGTGAGCACTGGTGGCCAACAGGCAAGGGATCTCCTGTGCCAGGTGACCCAGGGCAGAAGGAAAGAAAAGGCAGTAAGGAGAACAGGGGTTGTAATAATTTTGTTGTACCGTGGGGGAAAAAAAAACTTGTCATCTGGCTAAGAAAGCAAATTCCACTGGATCCTAAATTTCCTACCTATCTCCATGGAACAGCTTCTGTCAAGTGCTGTCAATATCTCACAGTTCTCCCATGCTCCTTTCTTTTAAAGTTCAAAGTCAAAAGGTGACTTTCAGGTGGCTGCATCTATTTGCCCTTTTCTTGCCTTGAAGCAAACAACCAGTAACATTCCCTGGCATGTTTTTCTCCTTTCTGAAGTTTCTTTCCTCCACTGCCCTCCTCCATAAAATCAGACCCCTTTTCACACATGGGTGAACCTAGAAAATCATTTAGAGTGGGAAGCACGTGAACCACTTCAGTGAACACCAGGTAATTGTATATTAGAGGCCTTTTGAAAGGTCATCTATTTCTGGGTAATTTTTCCAGGTACTTTCTTAGTGAACTGAAGCTCAGTGGCACCAAGTGAAGAACAGGGTGCTTTGCACACATCTCCAGCTCCCTGGCCCTGTGAATTGCCCACCCCAACCACTGTGTGAGTCCTCTGATGTTTTCTTTCCAAGATGCCCATCTCCACGTGTCACCTGCTTGTGCCATGTTTGCATCACTCACCTGTGTCCTGGGAACAGCTGAGGTTTTCAAACACACTGTGCTCATCAGACTCTACACTTTTCTGAAAAAGGCTGACTTTTCAGTTGCGTCAGGATACGAAAAACGACCTGAAAATCATGAGACACACAAATAGACACACAAGCAGACAGAGCACTGGAGTGCTGGTGAACCTGCCCGTCCGTGGTTGCTCCTGGTGCATTTTTCCCACAACAAGGATTCCAGGTGGGCTCATGCTGCAGCTTTACCTTCTCAGCATCACAAATTTGGGTATTATTCCTAACAAAGCAATAAGCTTTGCAATAATAAATAAGAAACTAAAACATTAATTTAAATGAACTGATAAGTGTTACAGCCACCAGATGGTCACATAATCTCAATTTCCATTCAAAACCAGACAAAAAACATCAAGCGACACTAAAGAAACTTTATGTTCTTTAGTAATGCAATTTCAACAACAGAAGTAAAAAAATTTGGTTTATACTAAGAATGGAAGCACAGAGGGACTTCTCTAGATAAAATTTCTGTTTTAGCAGAGATTTAAATTTCCTAAACTGATCTCGTTTTCTGAAAAACAATCCAGAATGGAGAAAAGAACAATGACACTTAGGCTGTACATTTATTAAAGGCTTTTCTAAAATTGCAAACCGGGCAATCAAGGCCCTGATTTGTCCTCCTGGGAAGACAAGTACAGTCAGCTCCCAGTCCCAGATTCCTGCTCCAGACACTGCCCAGGTTCTGCCAAGTTTGCCTGTGCAGGGTTCTGCTCCTGAGGCTGCATTCCTGGGTTCTGACAGCAGCCACCACACAGCTCCAAACATGGCAGCGCTCACGGTCAGACACATGTGCAGAGGGGCATGTGAAGAGGCAGGAATGGCTGAAATTTTAATTAAGGAAAATTTAAGTGACATATCTATTTGAGAAAGTGATGGTTGCGCAGTGCAAGTGCATCAGTGCCAACCTCCAGAGCTGCAGCCAGCAGTGCCTTTGCTGCAGCAGAGCAGGAGCCCAGCTCTGCCCCCATGCCTTATAATTCTTTTTACTAGTTATTGCAGTTACTGTTTGGAATGCACTTCACTGTGCAGGCAGCAAAGCCCCATGGACATTTTACATTAAAGAAACGTCAATGTGACTCTGTTAAAGAGACCAAAAGGGATTTTGTGGATTTTTGAGTTTGCCCAAGTCCTGTATATTTGTATTTCTTGATACTGCTGCAGAGCACAGGAGATATTGACAGCTGAGCCTTGGCAGCAGCACTGGCCCTGGCAGTCTGTGCCAAGGTCATGGCCAGCAGCCCCAGCCAGCACCTCACTGACCCTGCACTGAGCCGCACTCTCACTGCCACACAACATTAATTCTGACTTATCCATGAGAATGAACGATTTTCCAATGGCAGAATGGACTCAAATGGGGGATCTTGGCAGGCTCCAGCCAGGTGAAAGTTGACTCCTTTACAGTCTTGTGAGCACCAAGGAACGCCTCAGCCATTGTTTTGACGTGTAACGGGGCCATAAAGCGGCTCTGACCCCTGACACTGCCAGAACATCCTAAACTAACGTGTCTTAAACCTCTCCAGGCTGAGCTTGTCATAAGTCACTGATCTCTGCATCTTACTCATTCCAACGCAGACTCTAGGGCTAACCACACTAGAGAGAAGAACAGCTGAGGACACAAAACACTAGAATAATTTTAAGCATTCACTACTAAAATACTGTATAAATTAAAAATACTGTCAGCATTTACACTAAAATCAAAAGCATCCTTAGTTTTAGGCTTTGTTTTACATTTCATGCTGAGTTCAACAATAAATATTCAATCACAAGAACTTAGTTTGAACATTCAGCGTTTTTAAGACTGCCAAAAGAGAGTTTAAAGTGGGGCCTTTCTCAGCAGCCAGAGCGTGCAGAGGGGCTGCAGTGACACTGTGGCAGCATCACCACAGAGCCTGCCTGTGGCAAGGGGGCTACAGGAGGATGAATCCACCAGCAAACCAATCCAGGCTTGCTGCACTGGCTGTTGTCACCCACCCAGGGCCCAGCCCAGCACAGAGCAGCCACAGCTCCTGTGGCTCTGGCAGAAGCTCGTGCCAGCCATGCACAGGGCAAGACTCACCCAGAGGCTCATGTGGCAACATCCAGAAGGACTGGAGACTGCCCAGGGATGGCTGCTTGCTCTGCTGCCCAGGCACCCCCCAAAGCCCCTGTGAGAGGCTACACTGTGGATGGGAGAGATGTCTGAGCTCAGCAGGGCTTGAAGCACTTCATCACCAGTTTTCCTTGTTAATTAGTGTTAATTATTGCTCCCCAGCCCCAGGAAGCAGCAGTGCTTCACTTCCAGCTGAGCCACCAGAGGATGCACCCCTGTGGGTGGGACATGGGCAATGTGGGCCCATGGGAAGTGGGCACTGCCACGTGGGACACAGGCACTGCTTCAGCTGGGATGGGCACGTGGGACATGGGCACCACTGCAGGGGAACCATGGCCATGTGCCCATTGCTTCCTCAGTAATTGTACAGACTTCAGGACCAGAAGTTCTCCAGAATGCCAAAGAGCAAATCTCCACACTTTCCTGCAGTAGTTAAATATTTTCTTTATTTATCAAAGCAATATCCTTCAGAAATCAAAAGCTCAGGTCCTTCCTCCCCCAGTGCAGAATTAATGTGGTACCAGCAACACTCAGAACCAGTGACTCCTGTACAGCACTCACCCCACACCATGGCCATGCTCCCAGGACTGGAGACTGAGTCTTTGAGAAGTGCTGTCAGCCAGAAGTGAGTCTACCTGTCTCATACATTTGCTGACCCCCTGAAATGAGAGATTAAATGAAACTCATTAAACTATTCCAAGCAAGGACCAGAAAAATTGCTCCAATGAAGAATACCTGCATTTAAAAGAAATGATACAGATATTATCAGCTAAAGAGGCTGCTGTCTCTTCCAGAACATGCTGCTGCCACAAGACCTTAACATGTCAGCTGGTATCACCACTAACACCTGAGACAGCAAACAAGAGCTAATCCTTACACCCTCCTTGTGCTAATGACTGCAGGAGATAACTGGTGTCCCTGGCAAATGTCCCATTTAATTCAATTAACTCCAGCCAAGTCCTGTTGATTGCACTGGCAGTGCCAGAGAAAGCCAGAAGGCAGATCTGGAGTCAGATGGTAAAACCAAGGCAGTCTCCACCACCCCTCTGTAGCCCAGTCCCCAGCAGCCAATCCCAGGGGTAACAACCAACCTGGCATCCACAGCAGCTTCTACAAAAGAGTGTGGAAAAGCATAATTTTTTCCTGAAAATGCTCATCTTTTTTTTTTTTTTTTCCTGAGAAAATGCAGGCAACTAGTTTTGCTTATTTATTCTGAAATGCTGGCTTATGTGTTGGTTTAAGCAGTAGTTTCAGTGTTCCCACCCCCTTCCATGGGTCCAAGCCAGTGGGAAGATCATGTTTCTCCTAACACAAGGCAGATGCCTGCCAGCTGATCTGGGGGCACACAGAGCTGCTGTCCCCTCCAGGGGACCCTGACACTCGCAGAGATTGAAGTGGCTGAGGTATGAACTGAAACATTCTGATAAACATGAAAAATAAACTAACCATGAAAAATTAAGCTGCAGGAACAATTCGTATATTCCCTCAGTTGATACAATTTCCAGGTTTGTTTAATAGTAAAAAAATACTTTCCAAATATTTTCCTTTTGAACATTTTTCAGCTGTGAGCTTCAACAGGCAGTGATGGATCTGCCAACTCACATTATTCAGTTACAAAGTTTTGAAATAGAAAGAGATATGCAGAAAAGTTTCCTTGGTGGCACTTTTGAAGTGTAAGTCTGGGATAGCAGGTAAAATCCTGAGATGCCTGTACACTGCCAACCTAAATAGAAAGTGTATTCAAAGACAAGAGATTATCCATTCCTTGACACGGCTGTCATACCTACTCTGTTGTCAGGTCTTGGTAACAGTTTTATTTGAAGGTCAGTCCAGCACAAATAACGCCCAGAAAAGCTCTTCTGCTGGAAAACAAAGCCTTCAAACCTTCAAAAGGAGCTGTAAGGACCTATATGTGACCATCAGCTTGGACATGTCTCAGAACCAGCATGAGCCAGTGGAGATTTCTGAAGCTTCACTGAGTTTCTTTGTGGAAAACTTGTTATGGCATTCCAGTCATCCTCCAGCCTTTGTGTATCCTCCAGGATGGCTGAGAGCACAACAGGGAAGCCCAAACAGTTAACATGTCACTGTGTTGCACATGCAAATCCACTGGAGAACAGCAATTCTCTGCAAATCAAACCCAGCTGCTCTATGTCAGCAACTGCCTTCCAAGTCAGAAAGCCTGTGCTGTGGGTCCACTCATTAACATTAAATACATGTTTAAATAAAATTCTACATCCTATGGACATTTTTCCCATGCCGTGGCTCCATTGGATAACAGTGCTGAGCTCCCGGTACAGATGGTGGCACTCATCTCTCATTTGTTCCCATCTATGTGTTTGGTATTTTGCAGAAAGGAAACAACCTCCCCACTGTGCTCCAAACCCAACTGTGCCCAGGTGTTTCCAGACAGCCCAGGCTACTCTGCCAGGCACCACTTTTCGAGCAGTACCAGATCCATGAGGAATAACATGGGGAGACCAGAGCTGTGCAGAAATACCTGCAAGCAGAAGAATGCCACAAAGTGCAGCCACAGCTGGAATTTCCACCCCTGCCAGTGCTGAGGAATCCTGGGCAGGCTGAGCTCAGTGCTGCTGCAGCCCAGAGCAGGGGTGCAGGGGTGGAAATTCATGTGCAGGCTGAGGAATCCTGGGCAGGCTGAGCTCAGTGCTGCTGCAGCCCAGAGCACGGAGCACAGCACACATGTCCAGAAGAGCACCTGGCTGCACTCAGACCACGCCAGCACAAGAGGGACAGAGCTGGCCATCCTTCCTAGTGTCTCTCAGGAAGCCACGGGTGGCCACTGCCTAAAGAACCCTCCAGTCCTTCCTTGCCTTACAGGTAACAGGGTGCATGTCTTGGCATCCTGCAATTAGCAGCCTCTCCCCTTCAGACCCCCAAAAGGATGTGCTGAGCCTTATATTTTGCCAGGTGAGGTGTCAGCCAAGGGGAAATTGTGCCTCATGAGGGCTGGTGCCCACGTGAGCTCTGTGCGTGGCAGCAGTGGGACAGCAATAATAAAAAATTGTATAAAAACCCCAGGGCCTTTCAAAGCATTTCCAAATGCTGCCCCAATTTCCCTGCTGGGTGTCAGGTTCTAGGAAGCAGCCACCCACACAAAGCAGCTGTGGAACCACATCTAAAACTGCCTCACCTGTGGTACAGAAAGAGCTGACAATGGCATTAGCATGAAACTAAAATTAGAGGCTAATTGGGTTCTGCAGTCACTGAAATTGATGACAGCTCAGTAATTAACATCCCTGAATTTTCTTGAGTAAAATAAACCTAAAATCTGCTCCCATTCATGCTTCTCCCTGCTCCATGAGCAAGCACTGTGGTAGCCTGGCGTGCTTGGCACACAGGGGAGTTCTGGCACTTCTGCCACGGCTTGTGGGGTTCCCAGCAGTTACTGGGGCAGGCATAGCTCTGGGAAGAGCCTGTGTATGTAAATCAGCATCATTTCACAAAAATGGGATGTGCTATTCAGTGCCAGGGCATGGGAACCATCACCAGTGCAAAACACACACAAGACACCACCCACAGAACCTGTGAGAGGCAGTGGCTAAAGGTGTGACCTTCGCGCAGGTACGTCTGGCAGTGATGCACGACCAGTGCTGCTGCTGCTGCTCCAAGCAAAAGAGAGAGATACCAGCATTAAAAAGTGAGGGACTAAAAGCATCTGCTCAGGATGTCAGTGGGACACAGGCCCAGCCTCTATCAGTACTTCTTCTAAGTGAATGAGAACATCTTCTATTAAGGTGGGCAATAACACCTACCAAAAGGCACATGAACCTTTCACTGCACCTCCCTGGGGTGCATCACACATTTGGAGCACAGAAAAACACACCCTATTTAACTGTACATGTTATTTTCAAGTTGAGTGGGTTGTTGTTCAAGATCCATAATGAGAGACCAAAGGCACTGCCATTACAGCTGCAAGCAGCAATTGCTCTGCCTTAGACAATGTGCTGAAGACTTGCTGTGCAGGATACAGCCACGTGCAGCCTCTTCCAGGCTTTCTGTGCACGTGTGCTGTGTGTGCCCATCTGGCTGTGCTATGCTCCCCTGCCCTGTGCTCATCTGCAATTTGTGCAAGATTTCTGTGGCCTCATTTTCAGTTCATTGTTCTGTACAACATTTGGAGTCTCTGATCCATAAAAGCATCTTATGGTGGTACATTCGGAAAAGCCACAGCATGCTTCTGCCTCCACTCACAGCTGAAGGCTCTGACTGCTGACAGAGCTGTGCTTCCAAAGCCAGCCCACCTTCTGTCCCTTCCTTCAGCTTGATTTTGCTGTGACCAGCAATTTTATCTGCACTCTCTGGTGCAGATGTCCTGTGGCTCTTCATGAGAACCTCCCAGTTCTGCAGTGACCCGTGAGGCAAGGAAGGGGCATGGTACAAGGCCTGTTCCTCACCTCAGCTGTGATGAAGACAAGGCCAGGGCTGGGCCCCCTGCTGCTCCTGCTCTCAGAGGGTAACTCACTGCAGTCACTTGCTCCACTCTCCTGCTCCCTTCTCCTACACTTGCTGCAGGCACTAAATGTTCCCAGGCTCCCACAGCCATGCCTGGGGCATGCCAAGTCCATATGTTGCTGTCCCTTTCACACACATTTCCAAAGGGCAAAAAATTCACTCCTTGGAGATCCCCTTCTCTGTGCACAGCTCATCAAGCAGAAAGAACAAACATGGCCAAGATGGCCACAAAACTATGTCATTGTTTAGAAAGGCTTCACTTGACACCCAAAGATATCAAGTCTATTATTTTGGAGTAAAGTAGTATAACCAGTTCTATTTCCAGTGCAACGTGCGTTACTTTTCTTAAGTAAATTGCTTTTGCACTCATTTGGCTTAAAAGTCTTGGTGTGCCAGGAAGAAAAATGTCTGCGTGTGTATTATATATCTTATACTACAGACATCCATTCCTTCCACTATTTGTATCAGTATTTCAGACTATGATCAGAGCACTCTTGGCTTTGTTCTAAACTCACCCCCACAGATTATGAGCAAACGAGTTTCTGCATTACAAGTCCACAGCTCACACTGTCCCTGGCTGTCCCTGGCTATCCCAGGCAGTTAACCCTGCTGGAGATGTCTGCTCTGTGCTGGCTTTGAGGGCACCATGACGTTCTGCTGTCCATGGCCAGAGGGGCACAGGGGCTGGAGTCCCTCCCTGTGGCTCTGGGTCCATTGGCCTCCATGCCCCACTCTGCAGAGGGCACCGGGCTCTGCCTCCAAGAGCATCATCATGGGATGATGATAGAATACAGAATACAAGAATACAGACTGTGAAGAGCATGGATTTTAAGTGCCAGATCTTTTCTTGACTGATGCTCCCAGCTGATGGTGAGTTCATATTTCAAGGTAACATCACATTCATCAGTGTCACAAACAATCGCTGCCTTAAGAATCAACAAAATCCTTCTCTCCATTAGGTCTCACCTGAAGACTCCCCACATGCAAGGAATATGTCTGACAGCTCTCTGGGATGCCAAGGCATAAGCAGCATAAAGACTCATGTGCTGGGTGAAAGCTCAGACCCAGAGCTGGAAATGTCCTGCTGAGCAGCAGCAATTGCAGCTCATGTCACAACATTCCCAATAACAACAGCTGAAGATCCCTGTTTCAAAGTGACTGAACATTACAGCCAAAGTGAACT